GTGGGAGAGTTCAGTATTCAACACAGCAGCTACTCACCACAACTCATAAGTGGGTTAAACTCTTTTGTTTTTACTTTTATTTTTGTATTATTTATTACATTTACTCAGTCGTACATCAACCAGAGTACCCGGAGAGAAACCCATGCAAGCATGAAAGACCCTGGGATCGAACCCAGGACCTTCTTGCTGTGAGGCATCAGCGCTGACCACTGATCCATCGTGCTGCCAAACAGAAAATCTGAACTGAACTCTTCTGATGTTAGATGCAATGTTGTTTTAATTGTTTTTAATGTTTTTGGAAATAAATTACGCCTTTAAACATTAAATTTTGGACCTTTTTTTATATTGAAATGATCTAAAAACATTCCACAGGCTACCAATGCTGAGATAGAAATAAGTGTTTACAAATAATATAATAATAATATAAAATAATATAGTGATAGTTTTGTGGAAACCCTTTGATTAAACTTTGCAGGCAGCCCTAGGTGAGACCCTCTGATCTTTAAGCTCTAGGTTGATGCCCTAATGGGCCATATCCAGTCCTTCACGTACCTTCCTCCTCTCCTGAGCAGCATCGAGTTTCTTCTGGATTTCCTCCAGTGATGGTTTCTGGCGAGGTGGCGTGGTGGCCCTCAACTCCGGGCCGCCATCGAAGGTCGGGGGCTTCAGGATGACCTCGAAGGCCTGGCCACTCGCTCGTTTGCTCAACTCAATCACCTCCATGTCTCGGATGTTGCACAGGTTCAGGTCCACAATGCCTGCAAGATGAGCATTACCTTCAATAAGTCAAACGTGCTTCTCAACAAGCTTCCAACACCCAAAGGTCTGGAAACTGTTTCAGTCTTGGCCCAATATTAAAGAACTTTTCAACAGCCTCAAACTTGTTGGACGAGCTGTAACTGCAGTGATTATCTGAACGTCTGCACAGGTTTATCATAGGACTGCTGACCTTCCTTCTTGTCGGCTCTGGGTTCTCTTGGTTCTCTTGGTTCAGGAAGGATGCAGGAACAGAAGAGGGACACCAGTGGGAGCTCTCTGAGTTTCTCTCTGTAGGCTGGAACATTCAGGAACAACAAAAACAACAGTTTTAAAAAGCAGCAGAAGAGAAAAAAACAGATCAGATTCTGTCAACAATAAAAACAACTTTTTACCTGTCAGAGTCATTTTGGTGCTGGTCTCCTTCAAAGATCTGCTGCTGAGGTAGGATCAGGTGCTGAGGAGGGCAACAAACAAACCAGACACGGATGAAAACCACGTTCATAAATCTTCTCCAGAACAGTTCTGTGGATTCATGCATCACAAAAGACACGTCACCAGCAAAGGAACTCAAACAAAACTGGAGTTATTAGAGTCCATCTGAGCAGAGGAACCCCAGTGGAACAGGAACCATTGATGACCAACTAAACAGAGGAACCCCAATGGAACAAGAACCAATGAAGTCCAATTAAACAGAGGAACCCCAATGGAACAGGAACCATCGAAGTCCAATTAAACAGAGGAACCCCAATGGAACAAGAACCATTGAAGTCCATCTAAACAGAGGAACCCCAATAGAACAGGAACCATCGAAGTCCAATTAAACAGAGGAACCCCAATGGAACAGGAACCAATGAAGTCCAATTAAACAGAGGAACCCCAGTGGAACCAGAACCATTGAAGTCCAACTAGAGGAACCCCAATAGAACAAGAACCATTGAAGTCCAACTAGAGGAACCCCAATAGAACAGGAACCACTGGGGTTAATTTGAGGGTTCATATCTTCAGGTGAAACTGAATCAGAACCAGCATGTTGTTTTGTTTTCTGTTACTGGTCATGATTCAGTTTTTGGCTCCTGTGAGTCATCTTCACAGAATGAGATAATTTCTTCAAAGTGAATGAATCATCTCCAGATATGTGATTTTCTGTTGGATCATGAATTCATTAATTAACTGCAGAAAAAAAAATCTCTCTCAGGCACAAAACATTAATCAGGACATGGACAAAGTTTAGCTCGCACAATAAAACCTAAAAGATTCAAAATAAATATAAAAACAAGGATTTCCACTTCAGATAAACAGGAAACATGCACCACTTGTGAATTTTTATAACTCTGTTCCTGATCTTCCTTTATATTAAAATAATACAATAATAATAATATAATAATATAATACATAATGTTTGATTTGAGTCCAGTTTGTCTGCATCATGACACTTCTGCTTGTAGATTTCTTTACATAATTATTTAATATACTTCTTATCTCAAATCAACACATTCAGACTTTCTGTTTCTGCTCCATCAGAAAAACATCCAGATGTAAAGAAAAACACAAAAAACTCTTCTAACGTAGAACAAACAGCAAACCAGAAACACCATGTTCTTTTAGTACGAGTGTGTGCGTGTGTGCGCGCACACAAAGCAATGATGTCATTGTTCAAAGAGTGTGTCACCTACTGCAGAAATGAAATAAAAAAAGACCAGAAACTGCAGAAGTAAATAAATGGATGGATGAAGATGGATGGATGAAGATGGATGAATAAAAGTGGAGAACTGAATCTGTGTTCAGATCTGACAGGTCTCAGTGTCATCGTGCAGAAAACTCACCCTGCAGCCACTCTGGTCTTCGTTCTCTGAAGATCTGCAGCTCAGCAGAACCAGAACCACGCAGCAGCTGCTGCATGACATCACTCGGCAGGGCTCTGATTGGCCAGCACGGATACAGAGCTGTGATTGGTTCACAGAGGCTGAGGGAGGATGAGGAGGAGAAGGAGGTGGAGGTGGAGGAGAAATCCTTTTATCAGAAAAACCCAAAGATTTCTGAACCAAACTGGATCCATTTCACCAAAACAAAATATAAAAACAGAAAGAAAGTTATCATGTTTACACAATGATAAAATGTTCAACACAGTATTCTATCTATCTATCTATCTATCTATCTATCTATCTATCTA